TTCTTCAGACAAAGCAACAATTTCAAAAAAGTCGTATATTTTGTTCTTTCAATTTTTTTTTAAGTCCTAAATGTGCAAAAAAGAAGCCTGACAACACAAAAAGTCAAGTGGAAAAGACCCGCATATTTCTTTTTATCTTCCACAGTTTCTAAAATAAGTGAGTCTTATGTGATGCCACACACAAGTCAATATTTATTAGCACCTTCTAATTCCAAACACGTTTGAAGTATTAAAAGAGGTGTTACTAAATGTTCCCTCAAAGTAAGGAGGTGGGTGAAGAACCCAGATGAGACAGACACTGGATGTCAAGCTTCAACAAGTTCTGCCATTCACAGAAAACATTATGATTCCTAAGGATTCTAATTACAACATTTAGTCAGCAGCTTTGTCCTGCTGTCACAGAATTAAAAACAGTGCTACACTCCACACAAAATCTCTCAAGAATATGGTCTTCAGATCAGTAATGTAGCTGGGTAAGTACTCAGTCAAAACTGATATTTTTCATACCATATTAGTATTAAACTAAAGCATGTGAGAATCATTAAACATGACAAAAAGAGTCAAATAAAACATCTGTCTTCCTTAGTACTCTGTCACCTTTCACTACATGGAAAGATTGCCAAGAAACCTTGACATGCCCTCTGACATGAGGAAGGTTTGGTCCTTCGCGTGGGAAACTGCTTTCACTGTTAGCGTGGAAGGGACATGACAGCCCCATCACCTGAGGAACCTGCACCCAACTATTTTCATTGACACACAGCTGGTTCAGGATCTCTTCAGGCTTAGGGTTAGGGGTTATTTGTTCCTTACCAGGGGAAGGTGTTGAAGAGGGTAAATCCTGGTGTTACCCAGTTTTGGCTTCTGCCTCATTGGGTCCCCCTGGCTGCAGCGATCAGTCATCCTCAGACTGGCTATGAAAGAGCCTTTCCCCCCTTCTTCCATCCCTTCCACTGGCAGAGGGAAGAGAGACCTGACAATCACATGGTGAGACACTTTTGTCACCCAGGCCATGGAAGGCCCATATGAGAAGGACCAATTACTCTCTAGAGGAGCCTCCTCCACCAAGGTCAACTCAGGCAACATCACTCACCAAGAGCAGCTCCCTTCTTATTTGCCATGGGAGCTGGGCCTGCTGCCACCCTCCAGCCCAGGTGAAAGCCATGGGGACAGTGCAGATGTAGAGATGAGCAGGCCTGCTGCAGAGGCTCTCCCTTTCACAGGAGTTCTGTTAAGTAACAGCACATCCAAAGATGGTTCGTTCAGCTCTGCTTGCTCACTCCACAAAACTGCTCTTTTGCCCTTTGGCAAAGATGAACATCCTACAGTCACACTATCACGAGATCCAACACAGAGGACATCATCTTTTGTGGTAACAGCCTGCACCTGTTACAACAGGAAATATAAAATCCTAGGAATGCCTCCGAGGCAGACCAAAAGAGCAAAAACAACATGAGAAGCCAGCTGCTTGTTGTTCTGTAGTTTTCTGTTCCATCCCTGGCAGCCTCAAGGCTGTTTTAACTCACACAAACTGGATATGGTGTTTAAAGGACACAACACAGACAGGAGACAGCCACAGCACAGCACTGTCCACCTCAGATCTGCACTGTCACTTTCACCATTTCCATCACTGAAAGCATCTCCCATGACACCCAGCACTTCCCCTTCAGATCCAAGACAAAAATTAATGCTATCAGATATTTCTGTTGACCTAACCAGGCACTAATAAACAAATTACATGGAAAAATGGTAAAAAGAAAAAAAAAAAAAAAAAAAAAAAAAAAAAAAAAAAAAAAAAAACCCAAAACCCTCACAGCTCCCTCAACTAAACAAAAAAATCCCAAACAAAACCTCAGCCTAAGCCAATGCCTCGCTAGCCAAAGGAAGCATATGCAAGCAAAGTACCTGCAAACCTGCTAAAACTGAATGAAAAACGCAACACATTTCAGCAAGTGACTTGGTTGCTTCAAAAGACAGGACTTACATATAGGAAACTGTCCAAGCCAAAATCCTGAAGCTCTATTAAAAGCCTGATTAACTACTTCAGCTTTCTACAGCCTTGAAGAATTCTCCTGCTTTCCGAACTGTGAAATAGCATTTGCTGCACTACTCCAGGTGGATAGAGTTTAATGACTTTCTTCCACGTGATTAAATCAGAAGACGAGGAATCAATCATTTGGCCTTGTACATTCTGCATATTTTTGTACAAATCTTCTCACCATTCGATCTCTCTGCTCTCCCATCTACCACAAATAACACTGGTGGCATGCTGAACGTGCAGTTTTTAGTGCCTGCTTAAATCCTCAGAAGTGAAATTGCAGATCACAGAACAGATACCCAGTATAGCAGGCAGTTCACAGATCTGCAGAGAAGAAGATATGAGCAGCCAAACATTCAGTTAAGGTTCTGAAAGAGGCAGGATTCACAAATGTTTACCACGGTGAATGAATGGGGCAAAGCTAAGGAAAAATACAACTCTTCAACTAGCTTGATATGAAACATATTGATTCAATTAGCACAGTAACTGTTAACTCCACCAAGTAAACAGATGGTTGAAGAAAATCAAAGTTCAAATGATTGAAGGAAAAAACCCCAAACAAATCACTTATTTAAACTGAGTTACAGATTTAACTCATCCCACAATTGATTCAGATGTCGGAAATCTGGTCTCTAACCTAAATGAAACCTTTCCCTGTAACTGATGAATTTCAATAGTTAGCTTATTTTTCTGACACTGTTCACCAACTCAGGTGTCTGCATCAAACAGATGTCTTAAAAGATTAAGTTATGGGCATTTTTAAATATAAAAGTTACTCAACATTCCAAAACTGAAGTTAGTCATCAGAAGACAAAAGCCATGACAGAGCTGTAAAAAGAAGAGTTTCACTGGGATTTATATGGAACTACATTCTTCCTAGATTGTCACAGAGTAGAATATACAAGCCTCAGCTCTCCAGAGAAACTGAAATGGATATGGTTCATATGCAAACTAAATCATCCTAGCTCCTCCTAACACCACCACGCTCTTAACGCATTGACGTTCATTTGGATAGTCCAGAACACACTGTAACAAAGTCTGGCAGGCAGCCTTGACTTTTTAAGTCAACAACAACAAATAATTTCATTAGTTATATGTACAGATGACAGGGTATAATACTGCTGGTTAACACAGTAGCATTTTCACATGTTACATATACTCACATCATCAATATAAACAGTATGATTACTATCATCATCAATTTGATTCATTTCCATAGGAGGTTCATTTTGCTCCTTTTATTAACTGATAGAAGGGTGGAAAAAATCTATTTAACATAATTAAAATAAACAACACCATTCCAGGGGGAAAAAAAATTGTCGTCTTCACTTCAAACAGCAGCATCAAAAGAATGGCAAGAAACCAATTCAAACCCAGAAGTCCATGGTGAATTATTAATTCAACCACAGGAAAATTCAACCACATTATTAGAGGTCACAAGCCTGGAAGCATAACCAGAAGCGAAGTCAACTATAGCTCAAGAAATATTGCTTCAGGTTTCTCCTATCGTACACCTGCTTTTGGGCTCCATTCCTCTCTTCGCTCTCGATACCTGCTTTCTTGGCATCTTTGGTATGTGCACTGTGTCCCCTCCTTCCTTCACCAGTCCTGTCACACATAAGCACTGAGTTGCACAGGCTGCAGTAGCTCAGAGCATGGAGACAGCACCCCTGCTGCTCACTCCTTTTCCATCAATACTGCAGGACCTTGCTGCCCAAGAGGAATGAGGCCAAATCCTTCCTGCCTGTCAGCCAACCAAGTTCATGATTCTCATAATGCACAGAAATTGAGTTACGGTCATAGACAGAGCAGAGACACCTCCCTAACATCAGTCGGGTTTCTCCTGCCAAGTTCAAGCAGCACAGACTCTTCAAATATTTTTAGGTAAATCACTGCAGAAAGACAACAACTTATCCCAAATCCTTCTGAAAAGGTAGCTGCCACTTCCTCAAAGCACTCAGCCTGAGTCACAGTATTTGGAAAACTTGTGCCCAAGTGGCTGAAAGGAACAAAATTTAACACCCTGTTTTCTGTTCCTTTAATTCAGAGTGGATGTCTACAACAGCAGAGGGCTCAGCTTTCACTATCTGACAAAAAGAGCATCTCCTAAAGAATATTGTTTGTGCTTCTTTTTTGCCTCTGTTCAAGGACTAATGTTTTTGATATCACTAAGCCAATTAGAATTTGACTAAGTGGGAAAGCCTAGTACTTGCTTCAGTCAATAAAAATGAAGCTTAGGGTGAAGTTTTACCCTCTTGAGGAATATGGACTGAAAATAAACTATTCCCTTCCCACACAGACCCTTAAGTTAGGCGCATTTCACTTTGGTAAGCAATTTCATTTGAAACATTTAAAGAACAGAGAACCCAAGCAGCAGTAAAACATAAGAACCTACAACAGGTAAGCTTCATAATATGCTTTCTTCACAAGCTTCTCATAAACTATAACTAGATTACATTATTCACCAGTTTCTAACAACATCAAATGTACAAATGCAAACCTGAAAAACTAAAGAAAATGTATTAATAGCATTCACAGCTCTACTAGAGCCTCCAAGGCAATAACAACCTCAGTTTATTCACCTAAATAGAAGATTAAATGTTTTAATCATTGTAAGCCAATAAGAACTAATTTCTTTAGGAAAAGAACTGAAGTACAATACTAAAAGTCAGACCAAATGTGCCATTTAAGTCACTAATGCCAATCTTGTTTTTAAACTGCTGCATTTAAATATAATCTGCCCTGAAGTAGACAGTAAATTGCAACTTAAAAACACTGTCAGTTTCAGACATCAAACATAACAGGTACATAAAATCTCCCATGACATTTGTACTTACTTTACACCCCTATGATAAAAATATAGCATCCATAGTACAGTAACATGACTGAGCAGAAAAAACCCAGCATGCATGCAAATTAATAATTTTAGTAAGTTTGTTTGCAAGTAAAAACAACTGTTACTTACTGCTATTTCTCTGCATGCAGACATGGAAATTCCAGTACCTTCTATCTGTTTTAAAGCGTAATCTTTATCATCTTTCCTGTGAAGAGAAAAAGAAGTTTGGTTTGGTTATTTTTTTTAATTGCACCATGAATTCAAAGTGAGCTCTTCAGAACCATTCAGAGATTAGTTTCTAATTAATACAAATTATGCATCTTATTTTCTTTTCATTCTTTATTAGTTAAATGTCTGGATATCCAGCTAAACTATAAGCTAACTACAACACTTTGATAAAGTTAAAAAATAAGTCTGCTCTCATTAGAATGAGATTATTTTAAAACTTTCTTTTCTAAATACAATGATTAACACTTCCTTCATTTCTTCCTTCTCTTATTAAAAAGAAAACACAGCAAACAATTAGCACTAGAAATAAGCTGAGCTAGGGCTTCATCTCACATAAATGTATTACTCTAGGATACAGTAAGTCTCACCCATATTTTAATGAATTCTTGAGCAGCCCAGAACTAATGTCACATTAAAACACCTTTCCTTCCCCTAGGTACCAAACTGCAAATGAAACCGCCAAGATTAATTAAAAAACTCCAGCAGATGTAAGAAGGATCTCAAGAATCCAGAAGTGGATTCCAGTGGAAGGTGTCCCTGTCCCTGACAGGGGAGCTAGAACAGGATGATCCTGAAGGCCCCTGCCAATCCAAACCATTTTGAGTCTATGAAAGTTTGCTTAGCTTCAAACATATACAACACCTGTAAAAGGAATACTGTCACTTCCCTGTACTTCAACCAGTATGTACCTTAGAGTCATTTATTTAAAATGCAAGCCTATTATAACTCCAGCTACCAAAATCCAAATCAGGAAGAGATAAACTGCAGCAAAAGAAGATACTGAATTCTTGTTCATTCTCAGCCTCAAAAACTCAAAACTTTTAAGAGATGGAGTGTTTGTCTTTCCCACTTGTGGGCAGACATCCACAGTACTCCTGGGGGGCATGACACTGAACAGCAATATTGCAGCACTTTTATAGCCTCAAACCTCCAAGTTACATAAAAAGCCTTATTCATTTTTAATGACTCCAGCTTTCAGCTGTGAAGAGCCACCCTAAAAAAATGAAATTCAATCATCCTTAAAGCAAATGAAACTAAGCTGTAGTTAAGGATTGGTAACAAATGCACTTGTTTCTTCCAGATCTCACCATTTGTAAAACTTTCAATTGCTTTATTCCTACTTAAACCACACACTTTTCCCTATTCATCACCACCTAGGGAACAGAGAAAAAAGTGGGAAATTAATGGACAAAATCTGAACACAGATAACGAGGAGAAAGAACAAACAGCAAGCAGACAAGAGAAGATTTCAGTAAGGGGTCAATTTAATGGATGCAGTGAGATAAACAAAAAAATATACAGCATTTAACACAAAAAAAGGCAAAAAAGAACAGGGAAGGCAACAATAGAAGACATTAAGAAGCTTCCTTTAAAAACCGTAAAATTTGCCAGCCTGGAAAAGAAGGAGACAATGCTGAGCACAAAGTCTTATGTGGCCAAAACAAGGTGTTATACAATCCCCAGAGTACATACCTCTACACAATTTAGATGAAAACATGTTGCATGAAGCCCAAAACCAAGAAACCATAATGACACTAAGCACATAACTGAACAGTGCAACTCATGATGTAAGAATATTACAGGGATCAAAAGCATAAACAGATTTAAGATCAAATGACACAATTTTATCTTTTGATGATCTTTGGTAATTTGATTTTAAGGTCAAATTAACACAAACCCATGGTGGATAAGTGTGGCAATCATATTTTCTGGAAAAATCCCATTGCCCAGGACTCTTCTCCTGGGAAGCTGAGAAGCCTCAGAGGAAAAGGAAAACATTATTATCTCATTTGCTTCTTCTGTGTTTTGCTGCTTTGGAATGAGGTTGGAGATTGTCTATCCAACAGGTGATTGTTTCATTGGTTTCTGCTGTGAGTTGTTTTGACTTATTGGTCAATTGAGGGCAAGCTGTTTCGGACTCTGGAGAGTCATGAGATTCATTAGTATCCTTTTAGCCTTCTGTAAGTATCCTTTCTGTATTCTTTAATATAACATAGTATCATAAAATAATAAATTACCCTTCTGAGAACATGGAGTCAGATTCATCATTCCCTCCTTCATCTGGGAACCCCGCAAATACAACAGATAAGGAAGTTCTGGACCACTCCACGAGCAGCTTCTGAACATAACCCCAAGCTGCTTTACAGCACAGAGATAGAAAAAGAGGGACATTTTCACAGCTAAAAATTGTTTTATCCTCCACCTGCCTTAGTAAGCAATGGCTACCCAGCTGTTACTCTAGAGATATATGAAGCAGAACAAATTGGACTACAGGTTATTCTTACTGCCCTACATGCTCATCTACTTAGTTTTGAGGTGTTTGGAGATATCTCTATTTCAAGAGAAGCACTTCCACACAGCTGCTGTTACAAGCATTACCACTGACAGAACAAGGAGCAAAATGGGCCAGACTAAAGGTTCTTCTCATTGCCCTGCTGCTCATCTGCTTAGATTTCACAGTCTTTGAAGGACAAGTCAGTGTTAACATGAGGTACTACCATAAATCTAGTGACATTACAACAATGAAGCATGCCATACACTTCAGATGGTACTACTATTTTTAATTGGTCAATTTTTTGCCAAATTGAATCTGGACTACAATTTACCATAGCAGATGGCAGACCTTCTCTGGAAATTTTTAGGAAAAAAAAAACCCCTCAGCTGTTTCCTAGAACAAAACTGGAAGAACACTCTTAGAGCTGTGTATGTTAACTCTTTCACAATCGGGGCTTTAATGGTGAAATTTGACAGGGTGGTTTAAAGAACACAGCACTTGGTCTCCTCAAAGCAATGAATGAAGTCTCTGAAAATTAATCTTCTCACATTAAGGCCATTTTTAGAGCTGAAATCAAGAGCTTCAAAGCCCAGTCCTGCTCTGCCCTTACAGTGACCCAGGGCTGTGGGGAATGAACTGTTCCCTTGCTTTGCTCTGCCCAGGTGCTGCATGTGGGAGCCCAGAACAAGTGGCCTCTGCTGGGTCCTCAGCCTACCCTTGCAGTTTAGAAAAAATATAAGCATGGCAAAAAGAAGGAAAACAAATTAAGTTTAGGGATAAAGCACACTTTTTAGCACCATGCTATACTCTACTCCAGAATGAGGAAAAAAATAACTGAAGACTTCAAAGACTCAAATTTTCCGAATTGTGCTGGCGCAGTTGAGATACAAATAACCCAATTCCTAACCCTCTCCTAACATGTTCTACTCTGAGGCTGCTAAAATACCATGATTACCCAACTACACCACAAGTACCAGCTTTTCCATTTACAGGACTAGGAATATCCTACTTTTACCTTTAAGCCAAATGGTATTTTCATTGAAAAACCTAATGTAATTCTTTGGGAGCCAAGGAAATTGGGGGAATACTTTTTAAAGGGAATAGTAAGAGTCTGCAGGAGTGCCAAACACCATGACCAAGCTTATTTTAAAAAACTTAAGAAAATATTTTGCCAATAGTCTGTTTAGAATCATAATGCAGCCCAAGGCTTCTCCATGATTTTGGACATGGGCAATTTCCTTCTCTGAAAATAAAGAGATGTCTGAAGATAAAGAGACATTCAAAGACAAAACAGGAGATTTAAAAAAACCCCCAAAACCAGTAAGTAAAAAGAACGAAAAAAAAGGAAAGAAGTCCTGTTTATAAATATCTTCCACAGCCAACTGTGAGTAACAAAATGGGCCACTTAGCAGGCTGTATTTTAAGGGCACAGTAAGACTCAATTCAACTAAATTTCTTCCTTCTAACAGAGAACTCATGTAGGAAAAATCTGTTTTCTTTCCCTGCTGCCTGGAATTTAAACATTAAGTAACTTCAGCAGCTCCTCCACCTACCAGTAGGCTTAGAGAAGCTGGTCAATCTGCAAACTTACTTTCATACCAATTTATTCTTACATTCCTGCACTGAAGTAGATTGGTATCTTCAACTCTGTGGTGCTCCCCAGTAGTAACATGCAGCATGAATAAGAAAACTCACTTTGTACACTGCTGCTGACAACAGCAGTAGTTATTATAGGAATGAGCAAACTACATAATCTTGTGGAAAATCCTCAGAGGGACAACACTAAATCAGAGGCGTAAACTTGAAATAAATGGTTACCCGCATCACCACTTCCAGCAGATTTTAATGACAGCAACAAAAAAAACCCTACTAAATTACCATAAAAAACTATAAAAGATGTTGCTCTTACAGCTTGAACAAAGAAACCAAAAAACTGCCATCTTTAAGAGTTGCAAGTTTTTATCATAATGCTGCTTCTAAACATCGTAGCTTTTTATGTTCTACTGAATTTGGAAGTACAATGGCATCATAAGAAATATTTGGCCTCTGGGGGGAAAAAAACCTAAAAAAATCTGCACATAGGAAAGGAGGCCTATTACATAAAAGGCAGGTTCTAAAAAAAAAAAAATTGTTATTTCATCTCACATACCAAAAGTTTTGTAGAAATGTATTGACGCAGCACTACAATATACGCTTTATTCAGATCATCAGAACAGTTCAAAATTCATCTGAGTAATAAATATAGCAGAATAAAGTACCAAAGTCTTTAAATCAGTGATGACCATTCTGAATTTACATTACAGTAATGTAATGTAAAAAATCTCAAATTCAAAATTAACTGTTCCCAATGTAGGATTAGTTTTGTCTATAAAGAAGATGTAAAATCTGACTGCAGTTAAAAATGTGAGGGAAATAGACACTTCACTTAAGTTTTCAACTACCAAAGGGAACTATAAATACAGTATCTCTTCTACAGAAAACTACGGAATCTCTTAACTGTTTATGTCTCTTATTCCCTAAAAATATTAAAAAACTGATAATGAAAGATAAGCCCACTAATAAAACATGTATAGGGCGGTTTTTATTTCTACATGTTAAATTATGAAAATCAAACACAACAGCAAAGAATAGCATTTAGGAGACTTGGCATTTTCATTTTGTGGTATCATTCCCTGTTCTCTTCTCCGAAGTCATACAAGTGG